CGTGTCCAATACCAGCCCAGACCCTTCATAGGTTGGTCAGATTCAGGGTCCTCTTCATGTGAGAGGTGAGAAGTCAAATGTTAAGCAGCTCACTGCTCATTTTGATTTTTTTTCCTCTGCCCTATTATGGACTGTCTGAAATGAGCATGTGTGTGTGAGGGAGAGAGAGGATGGCAGGTATTACAGGAAGTGAAAATAGGTGATGCAGCTATTACTTTTGATGCAACTATGGAGATGTCCAAAGTGATTGAGTAAGCAGCTAAGAAGGCAGGCAGAGTTAATCATAGAATCATTACCATGTGGAAGCAGGCCATTTGGCCCACACCATCCTTCCAATGAGCGTCCCACTCCATCTCTGTAATCCTGCATTTCCCATGGCCAATCCAACTAACCTGCACATTTTTGAACTGTGGGAGGAAACGTAGCACCCAGATGAAACCCACACAGGCGTAGGGAGAGCATGCCAACTCCAGGCAGACAGCCGCTCAAGGGTGGAATCAAACCCAGGTCCCTGGTGAAGTGAGGCAGCAATGCTAACTGCTGAGCTGCCTTAATAGTTTGAGGGTTGGAGTGAATGGGTGAAGATGTTTCGTGTGATAATGAGTGGTCGAAGATGGGATGTGGGTACAGTAGTAGAGAGAATGATTGACTGTCAGGTATCTGAGAGGGGGTTATGGCATTTAAGCTGGAGTGGTGAAGGACATTGTCTCCCTTCTTACGTTGCTCTGCGTTCCTCCTGATGGCTGAGACTGCTTTAATCCAGGTGAAATCCTCAGACCAGACAGGTATTGTCTGGCATTAAGGTTTCCACTGCTTGTGCTGGGTGGAAAATGTTCTGACTTTTGTACAACTCCATCCAGCAGGACCTCCAGGACCCTGGTTAGAAAGCGGAGCATTGATTTCACCACCCACCCCCTCCCCATACTGTGAGCAGTGCAGAGTAGCTCTGGACTGGCAATACTTCTTTGTGTGCACTGGGCTTTAAAAGCTGACATGGGTGCAAGGGATGCTGGTGAAGTCTGGGGTACCTGCTTGTGTTCAGTTGTTCCTGGCATGTGCAAGATGGAGTGAAAATCCAATGTGAGACACCCCATAGGGATGGAGTAGTTAATTAAACAGCCAAGTTCGGCAAGCTACAGCAAGAAAACCAGCTAGGCCTCAGTGACAAACACCGTTTTTTAAAAAAAAGTGCTCAGTGCAATTGGGTTATAAGCGAATTGGACTTTGCCTGTGTTGTAACTCTCACTGTATTGTGAATATGTTTAGAACTGTGGTGGGAGGTGATACAGATATTTTTAAATCAGTTCTGGAGCAGGTGGGCTGGGAGTCCGTTCAGTTATTAGACCCTCCTAGTGTCTCAAATATATGTAAGTATTAGTATTGTACGTATGAGCGAGAGGTCTTTGGTTTTGTTTTGGTTAGAGTCAAATTCTAATGGTCTGTTTGTTTACTTGATATGCAGCTGTATAGAACCGAACTGCATTTGTGGTAGTGTTTGCCAGCAGATTTTTTATGAATGAAGTATATTTTTGAGGTAAAAGGTGGGACTTGAACCCAGCCTCCAGATTCAGGGTCGGGATACTACCACTATGCCTCATGAATCCTTTGGCTGAAGGGCGTATTTTTAATCAACCTGTTTGGACATATTAAGACGCATCTACATTAAGAGGTAGGGACAGTGTTGATGTGCCAACAGAGCCCTAAAATATTTCTTGTAACCAAATAAAACAAAACAGTTGCTGGATATCTGAAACAAAAACAAAAGTTGCTGGAGAAACTTCGGTCTGGCAGCATCTGTGGGGAGAAAGCAGAATTAATGTTCGAATCCATTGACTCTTCATCAGAACTGCAGAATCAGCAATTTCTATTTTTGCTTCAGTTTCATTTAATTGACCTGTTTCGAAAGTAATGACACACTACAGACGCCACACCCTGAGGTGGGGCTCGAGCCCAGAGTTTCTGGCCCAGAGGTAAGGGCACTATCACTGCGCCACAACAGCTAGGCTGGTCAGGACTGCATTTATGATCCAAGCTGGGTGCCACCCTGTTTTTACTTCCCTGTTTATCTTGACTTTCAGCCTTGGTTTCTGTAAGAAAATCCAGAGTGATATTTAGTTCCTTGAATGTGTTCACTGACGATTTTGTATTATGCATTCTTTGCGTTCTTCTTTGCCGTTCCCGATCTATTCCTGAAAAAATGGTTGGGAATTGTTGGAGGTGGGCAGGTATTAAAACTGCAGTGTTCTGATTGTTTTCATCAAGTAAGGTGATGGATATGTTATTTGTTAATGATCCTTGATTCCTGTCAAAAAACATAGAGCATGCGCACTCTGAAGTCTGGTGATCTTTGGTGCTTAGTGGTCAGAGTGAAGCAGCATGAAATCTAAATGCAGTGCCTGGAGGGTAATATTCTCAAGAATATTCTTTATTTGCAAATATATACTGTATTCATAACTTATCAAAAGTCCTTTATGAAATATTTGTAGTTAGACATTACAGAAAGTACAATTAGGATATCACATTTTGCATTTGAGCATTGCACTCCTCAGTGCCTCCATCCAAATGCAAGATTGGAACGTTTACTAAATGTGACTAGAGTGTGTGCGTGTGTGTACCAATACAAACTATAAGGGATTCTGTAGATTAATAATACCTTGGGTAATTAGGCAGAAAGGGCCTTAGATTGTGGCCTTTCCCCGCTGTTCCTTTGCAATAGCTGCTTCAAGCAGTGGTCAAAAGTCACGGGACACCAAGTTATATGCCAACAGACTTATTTAAGATCACTGCTCCTTCATCAGGTGAAGTGGTCAAGTCACTCCACCTTGAATTGGCCAGTCTATAACATTTGGTTGAGGCAAAGCCCTTGCACTAAAAGATCTATAAGTTTTGGGACGACTTCTGCTAAAGGTGCTTTTCTGTACAGATGTTTTTCCATGAAGGGCAATTGACACATTACAGTCTAATCACTTGGAAAACCGAAAGAATTGTTGATGCTGTAAATAAGAAATAAGAACAGATTATGCTGGAAAAGTTCAGCAGGTCAAGTTTTGATTTCTCATCACAGATGCTGCCAGACCTGCTCAGCTTTTCCAGCAACTTCTGTAGAAGGTTCAGTGGTAACATGGCCGGACTGATCTTTCCAATACCGGGGACAAAAGCCTGGCAGGTGGTGCCATGAGGGTCAATGCACAACTTGAGACAGCCATACAAAAAGGTGGCCATTGGGCAAAGGTGACATTGGACAGGAAAGTGGTGCAGAAAAAAATGTGAATAGTGTTTTTCAAAATTCACAAGGTTAGAATTTTGGATTGTGTGTTAAATGCACCACAAAAAATAGTTGCTGAATCAGTATTTCATTTCATAAATATTAAAGGTTCCAAAAATTGCACCATAGCCTAAACAAATGTCTAGGTGATGCGCATGTGTTGTAATGGTGTTAGCAGTGCTGTTCTCACCAAACGTTCATTGAACAGCAACACAACCCCAAGATAAGGACAGTTGATTTGAATTGGACATATAGGGGAGGGTAGGGGAATAGTACCACCTTTAACTTATGGTGACTATTTTTCTATTTTTGTTTGGCTTCTTTGCAGATTAGTACATCTTTATTAATTAATTTTATTAGAGGTTAATGATGTTTAAAACATAGTGATTGTGCATTTTTGGGGAGAAAATAGTTATTCAAATTCCCCATAATGCATTGCAGCATTACCACCACCAGCTGTTGGCATTTAGGAATTGCAATATAATTCTAGGATTGGTAATTATTGTACTACAATGCATCAATATATTAAAACAACTTTAATATGTGCACTTGTTTTTATCTTTAATATGTATGTTTGTAATAACCCTGTGATATTTTTGGCTGGCTTTTTTTGATGTCCCATTGGTACATCTGAATCTTACATTGATCAACCCTAATAATTTGCTATGGATCAATCAGAACAACTGGTGGAAATCAATTCTATCAGTTCAGGTTTATTTCCAAGGTACCCTTTCTCTGATGACCTGCCTGCCCATCTGTGTATGAATCTGAGTTTCTGCCTTGATGTACGGTGGGAAAAAATGGTGGTAGCTCTGCAGATCATAATGTTAGATTTGCTAAATTAAGATTATTTTCACCCTGTTAAATACAGTCAAAAAGCTATAACATCAGAATGTGAAAAATCATTTAAATGTTATCAGTGTGATTGACAAATGGTCCTTTTAAAGAGCTTCAGGACTTGCAAAAATTCCTGTGCAGTCCGCTTCCATTCCAGGGGCCTCAGCCCAAATTCTTTATGTACGCCGAGTGGAGAAAGACAAACATTGCTGCACATTACTGAGGAGAGTGCCCTCTATAGACATTGGCAGAATATCACTTCGCCTTCAGCAAATTAGCTGATTTCTTTGGTTCCAAGGATCTGCAATTTTTTTAAGTATTGAAAAACCAAGTGTGCAAGCTTAACTGAAAGACTGATGCTCAGGAAAGTGTGCTAAGTGAAGAAACTGGGAAGAAGCTGAGCTTCATTTGGATTATATGGCCTTTTCTTGTCCTTGATTTTGCTCTTTTCCTTTTTCAGTCCGTGAAGGAAATAGAGTTTTCTTTGTGTGTTTTGTAGGCACAAACCTTGCAGTATAGCAACAGTATTTTGGACTCCTAAGTCTACCTGAACATGCCATTTGTCATCTTTTATAATAGAAATAAAGTTGAAAGCACTTTTTTTCTGGTCCATGCTAAACCTTTTTTTAATGTTTGTTTTCGATTCATGCCCCCTTCCATTTATTGAGAGCTCACAATTGGACTAATGTATCCCTAAAAATAGCCATCACCAAGCCCTTCGTTCCCACCTCCTATCTCTTTCTTCCTGCTCAAGTGCCTGTTTTCAATACTCTTATCTTGAAGCATTCTGTGACAATCCTTAAAGTAACTAAGTGCAGATATCTTTTCATTTCTGCTCTTCTAATTCTATCTTTAGAAGCTTTGGTCTCACATGAATTTTGTAATTTTATTTTTACAGGTGGCTTTATTTGGTATAGAAATTTTATCAACCCTCATTTCACGTCTTCAGGATCACTTTAAAACGCATATTGGTACAGGTATGTTTCATTTCTGGTTGATTTCAGTTTCTGAATTATTGAAATAAATTAATATGGTCACTTTTTTTATCAAGATTGTTTGGTAGTTTCCTGTAATATGTTCTCCCTTCAAGTGGATTTAAGATTACATGGCTATTATCCCTGATATGGTTTGAAAAAAAAACTATCTGTCATTCACCATCACTAATACATTATAAAGAAATTATTTTCCTTTAAGGTTGTGGGGCCTTCCGATGAAAGCTGGCTACTGTGAATCCCTATAATACATTAATGATCATAGTTCAGAAATACCTAAATGAAAAGTACGTTGTGAATGTGCTGAGGCGGTGAGATGCTATACAAATACAAGTTTTTCTGTTTGCAATGGGTGGTATTTTCCATGTTTCTAATTTGAATGCATTTTGTTCTATAGTGATAGTCTGAAAATTATAAAAGTTAGACCATTAACTTTTTTGTTTGGAAGAAAAGTTGCCTAAAATTATGATGCATCATTTATCCAAAGCTTACACCTAAACAGATGCTTAACACAACCTGATGTGTCTTAGAATCTGTCAGTACTTTTAATTAGTGTGCAGAATTGAGAAGTTGTTTCACAGCGAGTAGGAAGCAAAATGTCTGGTGTAAGTTGAACATAAACATATTCACCTGAACCGGTTTTGAATTGTTTTGCTATCAGTTTAGTTTTAAACTATAAGCTATAAATGTGTTAACTTTAAATATGCTTCTAATTTTATGCAGTGTTGCCAAGTCTAATAGATAGACTAGGAGATGCTAAGGATCCAGTTCGAGAACAAGATCAAATCCTCCTGTTAAAAATTATGGAGCTATCGGCTACTCCACAGGTACATAACAACAGGAAACCTCACTTTGTTCTTTCCTCTTTTGATGCTACCATATTTGCAAGAGCTATGTTAAAAATCTAATCTACCTATGGTTAATGGGACCTGTTAATATTGGCTCTGTTTCATCGTTGATAAATTTACATTTGTTTGGATTCAGCATTCACTTATGGCTTGGTTTTCTTTTGGGCTGAGTTCTAATGCACAAATAATCCTAGGAGCCGGTAGGATGGGTAAACTGCACTGCTTGAAATGGATATTCAGTAATACAACGTGTTGGGTGTTTGTTTTGGTTAATGCTTTAAACATAAGGTGCTCGTTTGGCTATTTCACTTTAACAAGCTAATGATGGAATCTTCTTATACTTTTTCTCAAGTACGTCTGGGAACGAATGTTAGGAGGATTTAAACACAAGAATTTTCGAACGAGGGAAGGGATTTGCCTTTGCCTTATTAGCACATTAAATGCGTAAGTATGTGAATTGGTTTTGAAATCTTTTACCTAAAGTTTGATTTGTTTTCTGTTTTAGTAGAAGTCGTACAGAGCAAATTGAACATTTTATCATTTTTCTATTTTTCAGTTACGGAGCTCACAGTTTAACTCTGAGCAAAATTGTACCGCATATCTGTAATTTATTAGGAGATCCAAACAGTCAGGTGAGTAATCGACTTGTTTAAAAGCAAAAGTATTTTCAGTTTTCGCCTCGTTTATGTCTGATTTCAGTCTATGACTTTGTGGTTGCAAATTGAGGAATTTTGAAAGCCAGCTGTGAAAAATGAATATAGACATAGATTATTTTGCCTCGCCAATTACTCAAACAAGGGCATTAGTGGCGTGAATTCCATCGCAGTCAATGACGAGTCATGAGAAATATTAAAAGTTTGATTTTTAAATCCTGTTGCATCCTGTATTGAGATATCCAAGTTCCTGTATGATTTGCCAATTTTTGACTTTGTATAGTTACCAATTTTTTGTCTTCATAGTCCACCTTTACACTTTGTGCATATTATTGGACAATTGGAATTCCTTGCTGACATTCATAAACAAATGTTGAACAGTGTCTGTTATGTCCTGTGCTGGTTTTGCTAATAAGCCTGTTCTGTTCCTGTGCTTTTGACATGCTTTGATTTGATGTAGCCATCTATTGGTTCATGATGACCTTGCAGGAAGAGCACACTGCCACCTGTAGGATGGTAGAAAAGTGCACATTTACAGTAATAGAGTAGTAATTTATAGTGACTTTTACAAAACCAAATATAGTGAGAAGTGTTTTAAATCACCATATGATGGCACGTATGTTAATAACAGAAGGCACAGATGAGAAAAAAAATTGTAAAATAAGTTCATCTTAGTTCAATTCACAGCTCCTGAGTTTGGGAAAAGACAGTAGCGATGGAGAAAGTCACCGAAGCTGCTGCAAAAACAAAAAATTTTAAAAAATGTCCTGTGAAACTGGAGATCTGAAATAAAAATAACGTGCTGGAGAAACTTAGGTCTGGCAGCATCTGTGGAAAGAGAAACAGAGTTTAATGTTTTAAGTCCAACATGACTACTCATTAAGACCCATTTGCAATGCTTTTTAGTTGACTGTTGCTTTGACTATTGTGCCAAAGAAGTAGCAAACTTACTTCCCAGTTAACAAACAGCAAACTATTCAACTTCCATTTATAGAGTCATAGAGTTATACTGTGCAAAAACAAACCCTTTGGTTCAACTCGTAAATGGTGACCAGATATCCTGAACTAATCTAGTCCCATTTGGCAACATTTGTCCCATATCCCTCTAAACCCTTCCTATCCATGTACCTATCCAGGTAGCTTTTAAATGTTGTAATTTTATCCACCTCCATCACTTCTGGCAGTTGGTGAAGAATTTCAGTAACACCACCAGATACAAGAAGTAGAAATAGGTACAGGAGTTGGCCATTTGGACCCTTGAGCCTGCTGTGCTATCTAATCAGATCATGGCTGCTCTGACATTCCTTATGGCCACTTTCCTGCCCATACTCTGTAACCATTGACTCTTCAACTGATCAAGAATCTATCTCCGCCTTAAAGTTACACAAGGACTTTTACCCATAACTCTTTATGGTAAGGAGTTCCAAAGGTTCTCAACTCTGAGAGAAGAAATTCCTCCTCATCTTGGTTTAAATTGGTGCTCATCAATTCTGTCGTCTGGTCCTAGACTCTACCATGAGGGAAGCATTCTCTCAGCATTTATCCTGTCAAGCTCCTTAACAATCCTATGTTTCTGTGAGATCACATCTCATTTTTCCAAGCTCCAGTGAGTAGAGTCCCAGCCTGTTTAGACTTGACTTAGCAGTGCCAGAGAAAAACCTAGTGAACCTTCCCTGAATTGTCTCCATTGAAATGATGTCATTCATTTCTCCCAAAACTGTTCATAGTACACATGATGATATATCAGTGATCATCACTGCTGCTTCACAGTGCCAGGGACCCGAGTTTGATTCCACCCTTGTGTGATTGTCAGCGTGAAGTTTGTACATTTTTCTGTGTTTGTGTGGGTTTTGTCCAGGTGATCCAGTTTCCTCCCACAGTCCAACGATGCGCAGGTTAGGTGGATTGGCCATGCTGAATTGCCAGTAGTGTCCAGGAATCTGCAGCTAGGTGGGTTAGCTTGGGAGATACAGGGTTACAGGGATAGGGTTTGGGTCTGGGTGATATGCTCTTCAGAGGGGCAGTGTGGACTCAATGGGCTGAATGGCCTGCTTCAACACTAGAGATTCTATAATTCTGTTCTGTGATTCTACTCCAAATATGGTCTCTCTAGTAGTATGTAGTATAAAAAAAACTCACTACTCTTGTACTTTAACCCCCTTGAAATAAGGGATAAGTTTCTATTAGCCTTCCAGATTACCTGCTTCACCTTTGTGCTAGCTTTCTGTGTTTTGTGCATAAATACCCCAAGTAACTTTTTGTGTTGCATCTTTCTGCAGTTTTTCTCCATTTAAATAATACTCTGTTCTTTGATTCTCCCTTCCAAATTGAGCAACTTTGAATTTTTCCACATTATATACTCTTTTGTCAGTGTGCTACCCAATTACTTAATCAATCAATATCTCTGTGTAACCTACTTGTATCCCACTCACAACCTGACTTTCCACCTATTTTTGTGTCACTTGCAAATTTGGCTACAAAACATTCTCTTCCTTCCTCCAAGCCATTACAATATATTGTAAATAATTACAGTCACTGATCCCTATGGAACCCAACTAACCTCGGGTTGCCAACCTGACAAAGAACCCCTTATCCCTACTCACTGTTTTCTGCCCACTAATCAATTCACTGTGTATGCCAATGTGCTACTTCCAACACTATGGGCTCTTATGACTCAACCTTTTATGAAATACCTTGTTGAATGGGGATAAGTCCTGTCTAAGAAAAATATTTTTAGTAAACCTACATATTTTGTCCGGTAGAGTTTGAACTTATCATGTTAGTGGGAGGTACGCAGATAGGAAAGTAGAGTTGAGACCAAAACCAAATTAGTCTTCATCTAGTCAAATGGTGCGTCAGGCTTGAAGGGCTGAATGTTCCACTCCTGCTCCAAGTCCTGTTCGCCATTGTATTTCATTAGTAGTACTGTTATATTTAAAATAGTTTTATGTTCAGGTTAGCATGCACTTTTTTCTGCTTATTTCCTAATAAAATAATTTAAAGCTTCTTGGTCATAGTTCAATGCTGTCCATCTATTATATAGATTTGATCTACCTAACTGCAATATTTGCAGAAAATGTTGATCAAGATCCATGATTTTATCTAGGTCACTAAAAAAAACTAATATCAAGTGTAATTGGTTAATTTTCAGACATAGAGTGCATTAAATAGCTAAGCATATTTGAAACTTCAGTTTTGAAATTAAGTGAAATAGAACATATAGAAAAGGAATGGGCCAACTGAGCCCTTAAGCTTGTACCGCTATCAAAAAGGATCACAGGTCTTTGTAATTTCACTTTTTTTTCTGTCCAATCCCCTTTATCTGTTGATTTCTTTAGAGCCCAACAACCCACTGATCTTGACCTGAATCTGCTCAATATCTGATTTCTGCAGCTGTCAGAAGTGCAACTTCAAGAGCAATGGTGGTAGCAAATGTGAAACCATACAACCCTGAATTGCTGCTAAATTAAACTCATAGAAAACTTGATTGTAACTAATCATGCAGAAATTTAAATTCTAATTGTATTTGAATTCATTTTAACTCTTCAGGTCCGAGATGCAGCAATAAATAGTTTAGTCGAAATATATAAGCATGTAGGAGAGAGAGTCCGTGCAGATCTTCATAAAAAGGGGCTACCACAATCACGGTAAGAAAATTTATGTCAACTATTAGATTGAAATGCCTGTTATTGTTGATCTGTGTTCATTATGTAATTCTGATACATTTTACTGATAGAAGTAACAAGTAATATTCGTACTATTACTGTTGTGATTAAAACTAAGTGTATTTAATTAGTAAATCCTCTGAAGTATTTAACTTAATAAGAGAACATGTTGCATATTTATGGATATCATTGCAACAGCATAATAGCGCATCTGATCTTTCCAGTGATAACAGTAGCTATTTGTTGCTTTCTTGCCTCTGAGATTCATGATCAACAAGAGGGAGTTTTTTTTTCACTATCAGTGCAGAACATAACTTTTTTTTTATATATTATCGCTCTATGGTGCAGGGTGGGCGTTACAAATCTTTCTTTAAGTAGGACAAATTTCAGTATTGCTAATTCTTTGTATTTTTGCCTTGTTTGTCCTGTCCTGCATTTGTCATAAGTTATTTAGCTCATAAGTTTAATAGACAGGTGAAATAATAGTCAGTCTTTGGTACGAGCAGTTGGAGTTTCATTGTCAGATAATGATAAGAAAGATATGTTTAAAATGCCCCGTATGGTGATTTGTACATATACTATTTCTTGCGTATATCATATTTTGCGACTGAATTTGTGGCTTTTCTTTTCAGTATAGCAGTTGTTGCCCACAGTGTACAATAAAGTCCCCAATATCTGATACCCTGTTGGCCAGAATTAGAATATCCTTTATTGTGACATATGCTCAATGATTATAGTGAAAAATTTACATGTTGCCACTTAGTGTCAACTTAGATATAAAAATACCTCGGTACAGCTTCTTTAGCTGCAAGATCTTGGACAATAGTAGAATAGTGTCCAGCATTACAGAAATAAAAGCTCAGTACAATGTACCACGCTTGCACCCAGCTTCCAGTCCGTGCTGGTGACACACCATGCTGGGAGGTAGCTGCAGGAGGCTGGTAGGTCACCATACCACACTGGGAGGTTACTGCCAACGTGGTGTGGCCACTGCGCCAGATTGGGAGGTTGCCATGTCAATGCCGTGAGGCTGCTGCAGGAGGCTGGGAAGACATCACACCACACAGGGAGGCTGTTGTGGGAGGATACCATGCCAAGCTGAGGGTGCTGCTGGAGGCTGGGAGGACGCGACGCTGGAAGGTCACTGCTGGAGGCTAAGAGGTTGCTCATACAACTGGCA